GGATGAACATGATGGACAGATGTCACCACGAGCACATCTGTCCACCCAGTCTTATCCACCATGAGTAGGCTGTCGCTGAGACGTTACTGAAAGTTTGAAGAGTGAGAATTGAGCAAACAGCGAAGGATCTGAAAAGTCAGAGGTTCTGATTTTGGCAAAACCTTCAAACTACAGTCGCTCTGTGGTCAGTGCCTCGGTCTTCTAATCCTGAAACTGCAGGTTTGAGCCCAGGTTTGTTGTTGAACATTTGGCATAAAAATCCCACAAATCTTTCATGGGAGTTTGTCTGCTGTGGTGCTGTGTAATTTTATTTTGCAGTCTCCCTTATTGTGGCATTTTTCAGTAAAGACGATTCACATTTTGTTTGAATCAGTAGGTAAACTTCTCTCTGCACAGACCAAAAACAGACTATTGTAATGTGTTGTCTTTTTATAATAAAAAACTAATTGTAATTAAATATTAAGGAGAGTTATTTTTTTACTAAATGTTTTCATCTGCAACACAGTTTTTAATACACTTTTGAGTCAATACTTTCAGTCAGTGGGCCTGTATACAGGGCTACAGATGCTCACTGTGCTGTTTGACGATGTAGTGTGTACCACACTCAACATGGACCAGAGGAAGTGAAGGAAAGAGTTGTCTCAGGAGATTAGAAAGAAAATTAGAGACAAGCATGTTAAAGGTAAAGGTTATAAGACAAGTATGTTAAAGGTAAAGGTTATAAGACAAGCATGTTAAAGGTAAAGGTTATAAGCAGCTTGACGCTCCTGTGACTACAGCTGCACATATTCAGATATTTAAGATCCATGGGACTGTAGCTAACCTCCCTGGACGTGACCGCAGGAGGAAAATTGATGACAAGTTAAAGAAAAAAATCAACATACATATCTTGGGAAAATAATAAAAACTATATTTAGCTTTTATTTGTAATAAGCAAAACAATCAAAAGATAATCTCTGACACTCAAATTAACCTAACCCACATATAGAAAGGCATGTAAAGAAGGAAATAGATGCAGTAAACACATCTATATCCATGCACAGAAAGAGCGAAGCAACATGATACTGTGTCAAAGAGAGACATGCAAAAATACAGCTGCCTCTGCAGAACAACTTCCAAGCTGTGTTGGGAACACAGCCTGAAATGCTGTCTGGTTTCGTGGAAGAATGGTAAAATTTTATGTTTACTAACCCTTCAAACCAGTGAGTCTTTCAGCGAAGCGAGTCATGTCTGCATGAAATTCATGTGTATTTTTCTTGTCGAGGCTTGAATCAGCCTGGATGTTTTGACAGTCCCGCAGCGTTCAGGGTGTGGCCCTCTGCCGCCAGCATGAGATGAAGGCTCCTACCCCCAAAGGGTTGCCTCTCCCACAGGCACGCTTCACAGGCGAACAGGCGGCACATCAAAGGACTCTTATCTCATCCATCTTCACACTTAATAAAAAAATTAAACAAGCCAGCTGCTGTTCCGGTTAAAAAAGACACAATCTTTTAAAAACTACAAAAACAAAGTTAGATTCATATTGATATTTTTAGATTTATGTATTTGGGACTCTGAGATAGGATTTTAACTTACTGTCAACAAACCTCATAAAAACAAAATCTTAATGGGGAATGTGCCACTGCTGGATGCAATTTATCTGAATGTTTCATCTGAAGCACATCAGAAAAGCTGAATGTTTGGTGCAGATATTTTTGAGTTTTAGGTTTCGAATATTTGCTAAGCTAATAAATAATTAAATCACATAAAGATTAACTATAAACAAATTTGAACGATTAACATCTAATATGTCAGTGACTGAGTACTGTTATTTTTATTTAATATGTTTTAGGTTTTTACCTGTTTGTGTTTTATGAAAATATCTGATGAACTACTTGACAAATTTCAATGAAAGTTGCGAGTAATAAATAGATGCACTTTTGAAGTCAGCCTGATTCAAAACACCTGTCACAGCCAACTTATCTGAAAAGCAAGGGTGGATGGATGGATGGATGGATGGATGGATGGATGGATGATGGATGAATGGATATATTGATGGATGGATGGGTGAATGGATGTATTGATGGATGATGGATGGATGGAGGGATGGATGGATGGGTGGATGGATGGATGATAAATGGATGGATGTATCATGGATGGATGGATGATGAATGGATGTATGGATGAATGGATGTATTGATGGATGGATGGATGGATGAATGATGGATGAATGGATGTATTGATGGATGATGGATGGATGATGATAATGATGGATGGATGGGTGGATGGATGATGGATAGATGGATGATGGATGGATGAACGTATGTATTGATGGATGATGGATGGATGGATGAATGGATGTATTGATGGATGATTGATGGATGGATAATGGATGGATGGATAAATGTATGTATTGGATGATGGATGGATGGATGAATGGATGGATTGATGATTGATGGATGGATGATGGATGGATGGATGAATGGATGTATTGATGGATGATGGATGGATGATGGATGGATGGATGGATGATGGATGGATAAATGTATGTATTGGATGATGGATGGATGGATGAATGGATGGATTGATGATTGATGGATGGATGATGGATGGATGGATGAATGGATGTATTGATGGATGATAGATGGATGGATTATGGATGGATGATGGATGAATGGATGTATTGATGGATGATTGATGGATGGATGATGGATGGATGGATGGATGAATGGATGTATTGATGGATGATAGATGGATGGATTATGGATGGATGATGGATGAATGGA